CTTTAGGGATGAATGGACCTATCTAATTATTTTTAAGACATATATATGACAACTACACTGGTAACACAATTTTCAGTTTGCATTTATGATATTCTGAATTTATTGTCTCCAGCTCATTTCCAAACTGTCTGTAGCCTTGGGTTCACAAGAAGTTGTAGTTGTGGATTAAAGCCATGCAAACACTGTGTCCCTTCACTGGGAAAAATGCTTGGAGTATGGAGAGCTCTCTTGAGAAATTATAACTATATTTTTAATAGTTCTGATATACTTCCTGAGGCATTTGCACTGGTCACTCTAGGGTAGCAATAAGAACTTCTGTTCCATCCACTGAGTCAGCTGAGCTTTTGGTCTAATCCTATATTCTTAGGTACTTTAATAGTTAAAAACAGTCTGACACATGTGATAAATTGTAGGACTAATGAGTTGTTCACTTGGTCACCGCACCAAAAAACTATGCAGGCAATTGTCTAGTCTGAGAACCTTTCCTTTTGGGAGCACTTTGTTTGTTAGCACAGATCAATATCAAGGTCTGAACAAGCCAATAGACTGTGATGGATAAATTGTGACTGACCTAACCTTGGGGTGGAGAAGGGGTTAATAGGAGTGGGCACCTGACATCAGGTCTGGGGGAACTACACCTTGGCCAGAGCTGCTGGGTGAGTCAGTGTAACTGGCAATCCCCTGAGAAGCTGACATGTCTTTTAAGAGCATGATGTGTCTTCAGCATATTAATAACCAGCCTAATACTCTGGCAATGATACTCTCATTTGAACTGAAGACAGATGGATAAGGTGTTTGCCAAAAAGTTTGTTTGTCTTTTACAAAATTTTGTGTGACCTTTAACAGAAATTTCTAGTCTGTGTTGGCTTTTTGTCATAATTTATGATTTTTTGAATCACATTTTCCTGAGAAAAAAGTCAAAACCATATTTTTCTGTCTCACATATAGACTAACTCACAGAAAATTAGAGATCCTTCTCTACCTGAAGGAAGTGCTTCTTTTGATTGTTGGTCAGAATAATCTTATGCCAATAATAAAAGTTTTTGGTAATACAGAGATGGATAACTGTCACAATGGTGCTTTATTTCTTCCTCTGTTTTTTTTATTGAATAGTATTTATTGAAATTAAAATTATTTTCAGTTTAATAAAGATCTTTTTAAGCATGGTTCTCAGTGTTGAAGTGTTTGTACTTCTTTACTATTTACACATCTTTATTTCCAATTTTGTGTTTTCTCAACTCTTTTCCAAACTCACAGCTGAGGCCAGTAGTGCCCACAAAAAAAACCAAAAAACAAAACAAACCGCCCACAAAAAAAAACAAACAAAAAAAAAACAAACCAAAAAACCGCAAACAAAACACCCTCCACTTTCTTTTTTATAGCAATAATTTTTGGTAAAAACATACAGGCATGGAGGTCTCAAATAATAGACTATGTCTCTAAAGGTGAAACTAACCCTGAAAAAATGAACAAAATTATCAGTCATAACTATTATAGAAAAAAAAGAAACTAAAAGAAAATTAAGCCTGAAAGAATTAAACCTCTCTACCATTTGTGAAAATGCCCTATAGTTTTTGTATGTTGAGAATAAGCATTGTTAAAGACTGCAAAGTCCCCTCCAGCATAATCTTTCTCTATGTCCACTGAAGAATACTGCTTTGCCAGACAATATTAAATGTTCATTCTTTTCTAATTATTGAAGATAAATATTAGTGATAAGACTTGGACTGGAAAAAAATAATGGCAATAAAAAAAGTTGCTTGAGCGATATTTTCATATCTTCAAAGGATTCTGAAACTGATATTAATCCCATTGCCTGTGGAAGCCCATTGTCATTACTTGTACTTCTATTATCTTTGCTTTTAATTTACATCTCTAGGAAAGTGATCTTTTCTTTCTTTGGGATCATAATTACGATTAGACTTATCCTCTTTCATGGCTAGACAATGTCCTTGACACTCCCCTTGATTTTTTTTCCAACATACAATTGTATTGTGATATCAGCAATCTTATTTTTTCAGTTACTATATTACATTATAAAGTAAATTTTGTGCAAACATTTTAGCATTCAAAAAAGCTGGTACAGTGAGGGCTTGTCCATTCACTAAAAACAGACATGGAAGTTTTTCAAAAATTCTCATTCTATTAATGAATACCACAATAACTGTGACTTAGATTCAATACAAACACTTAAATATCAGGCATGGCAACCATAGTGCACATTTCCAGAATGAAATTTGAGAGAGGTTTTCCACAAAAATGTGAAAAAATGTCAATCTGTTCATATTCTGGAGACAGCAGTAGTGTACTGCACAATATCACTGGTATTTTTTTTCTTGTTTAGAATGTTCAAATGCCAGTGTCACCTAAAGAAGGATCCTTCATACAGGTATAGATGAAATTGCTGCTCAGAATAGAAGGGATTTTGATGCAGAAATGGCCCTTTACAAGTAGGCAGAGAAAACTCCATAACCAAAAAATTTGCTTCTAATTTCATGAATCAAACTAACGTTTTGACACCCAAAAACTCCCAGATCTATTTGTATAGGTGGTCCTCTTTTGGGTCCAGCCCTAACAGCAGCAACATGGAAAAAGTCACCAGTTCTGTGTCTTGTTTTGTTTTGTTTTGTTTTGTTTTAGGAAGCTTTTCTTCTGGAAGTCTTATTTACGGACCATGTAAATGACAGCACAAATTAGTTGAGAAAAGCTGCTTGGAGAGATCTGCACCTTGTGCTCAGGGGAACATATTGTGATGTTTGTGAGAGTGCTACCTGCAGGAGCTCACCTGAGCCCTCAGCTCACCTCCCAGGGCTCTGCCTTCTGTGCTTATGACCTTCAGTGCTGGGAGAGAATTTCAAGGTGCCTAAGCAAAAAAGCTGCTCCCTAGACTACACCACAGAGCTCTCAGAAAGCTTCACTTTAGCCTTAGACCCTGGCAATTAAGCTCCTTGGTGTTTATGCAATTTTAAGGGAAGTCTGCAGAGAGACAGGAACAACTCTGAGGGGCTGAGAGGCGCCTGTCACCAAGGGGACACGAGCAGTACTCTGCACTGGCATTTCCAAGGGACTCATGGCTTCAGGCCACATATGTTGTATTTCTGTAGCTCAGTAAAAGAGGTGACAAAATCAAGTACAAACAAGGCCAGATCCTGGCTGCCAGGATGAAATGGAGACCTCCAGTCACTTGGAGATGGTAAGTTATTTGGGGATGTTGCTGTGTGAGAGCTTATGGCAATACTTATGACAGAAAGGGGAGTTATCTTCAGTAGGCACAGGAAAGAGAAAGTGCTGTGCAGGGAGACAAGCATGAGAATGCTTATACTCTAAAAGACGGAGAATCTTGAGCACACACTCAGGAAGTGGAAAAGCCCACTGAAAATTTGTTTTACTGTTCTGGAAGGTGAAACATGTTTGAATTTGGGCCTTTTCACATCTGTGTGGCTGCATTGTCCTGTAAGGTACCAGATTTGGAGAAATCACCAGGTTTTTGTCCATTTCCTTTATACCAAAGACAGATGACCCTCTCAGGATTCATGTCCAGAGCCAGGAGCTTTGAATAGTGAGGAAAGCATTCCCAGATGGCAGTTAGATACTCAGCTCCTTGGATGGAGCAATTTTAGGTCCAAACAACCATACAGTAACTTCCAATTGCTAACAATTTAAGCAACCTTGAGCTTATTTAGATGACTTCTCCAAATTCTGTTTCTACATCTTTCTACCCCAATGCAATGGGTAAGGACCATGTCACTGGTTTCCAGAGAAGGGATTGCAATGGTGAGCGTGGTTCTGCCCATAGAGTTTTTATGGATTATGCATTCCTAGCCATGAGGTAACAGCACTTTCATCCTGGCCCCTACACTGGCCTGTGGTGAGAAGACACATTCCACCCCTGTACATCCTTGCCAACAATATACTACAGCTTCAGACTCTGTGCACCTTCTGTAAAATTAAAAATGCACCTGTCTCTATGGGAAAAGAGACAGGGCTGAAGGTTTTACAGTTCTTTGATGAAGTAAAGAGAGGGAATATTTTCCTACACTGTAAGTTTTCCTAACATGACGAGCTGTCAATAGAAATGTAACTGCTCGTGGTCTTCAAGCCTATTAATTCCTTGGGTTGCAGATTGAAATTGACAGTTTATTTCATTAAATAGAAGCCTGATCCAGTTCCATTTAACTTCAGAGAAAACTGGATTGTAATCTCAGAAGGTACTGGGGTGATAGATTCTTCCATATGGGCAATTACCCCTTGAGAATTGATGGATGCCAAATTCAGTTCACATAGGGCTGCTTACACATCCTACTATTCTTGAGCCTTGCTCAATATGGAGAAAAAACACGCCCTAGTTTTGAAAAGATTTACATTCTATTATCGGTAATTCCAGCCTTCTAATACATTTGCATTTTGATTTAATAGAAGTTGAATATAAGTTTTATGTTTCAGCAAAACAATTTCAATAACCATAAAGATTATAACATAAATCCTACTTCCTTCACTTGTCTGCTTTAAAAATTCAATGATAACTAAATAATTTTTTCCTGAAAATTAGGACACAGTCCTTTCTTTAGGGGCCTGTGTTGGCTTCAGGTAAAATGCTTGACAGTACCTCATCATTGTTTTTCACTAAATATACTTTCCATATTATTATTCCTGAACTTTATTTCTATACAGACATACATATAACTTCTTTGCATTAACAGAAGCCCCACAAGCATAACAAGAATATAAATAACATTTCTGCCATTCTATTTTTATATTAATTTTTTTCAGATTTTCTGTAATAATTAAATAATAAAGAAAAATGAAATAATAAATAATTCTTAGAAATTCTTACAAAAAACAGCTCAGTAAATATTATTTGTGTTTTGCATTTAATGAGTTTGTTAGAGCACAACTGAAAATGTTAGTAGAGTGTCATGTAACTATTGTCAGAATTTATATCACAGATACACAGTTAGTTCTTAAAAAGATTACAAAATATGGTTAAGCAAGTGACCAACCTTTTTTCAGGGAAGGTTCTGTTTCACCTAAACCGAGAGAAAAAAACAGATATCAGAGAAAAGATTAAAAAAAACTCCAAACAAAACCCAAACAAAACCAAACCAAAATAAAAACAATAAAAAAGCCAAGACCAAAACAACTCAAAAAACAAAGCAAAACAAAAAAAACCCCACATTTTTTCATGTTGACTCATTTTATTTCAAAAAATATTTCTTCTTCTTTATATGCTAAATGACAAGCATCTATTCTGAGATTTTGGATTTTTAATTAAAAAATCTGTCTTGCCATAGAGTTTTGGGTAGATAAATTCAAGGTGCAGTAGTAACTAAGGAAATATCTAAATATCTATTTGTGCTTCTGAATATTAACTTATGACTAAAATTTAAAAATTGCTTTTCTTTATGCATGTTTCCACATTTTAAGGAAAGGCTCACTTGTTCTTTTTAAATTCCAAATAAAGCATATATTAAATTTAGCAAGATTGTAAATCTAACAATGTTTCTAGTGAAACCCAAGGCAAATCATAATGCATTTCAGTGTAACTATAAGCACTTGATTGCTGTGATATGTTATTGCAGCTCCATGTAGGACATGGAATTTGAAGGAGTGATCCCAAGTGACTGGCCAGTGTGCAGCCTCAGCTGCACTGACTACAGCACAGGGTGGGCAGAGGTCTCAAAGCCCTTAACTTTTATGATATAGTGCATTAAGATGCCTTGCTGCCTCTTCACACTCCTGGTTGATGATGAAATTCCACTTGGGCAAAACACTGCCAGAGCTAAGGTTTCCAAATCTAGTGAACATCAGATCTTGGATTTTTGTCTGTCAGGTATTTTATGACTTTTCCTACTGCCATTAACACTTAGACACTCGAGTGTTTGAATGTTCACACGTGCTTTGGGAGCTATGAAATCCTAAAAATGCACACTGATCAAATTTTACCAAGCTCTCTATTTTTCATCTTTTCTGTTTGTCAACCTTAGGAGAGACTGGCTTTCTGCTAGTTATAAATCACATCTCAGAATAGGATGCCCAATTCACAGACTCACATGTAGCAGCCTATCTATTAGCATTCATAGACTATGCTAATATAAAAAGCTCATGCACATATTTAAGAGGTAAACACTTGGTAATATCTCAGGTTGCTGAACAAATGGGTAGAAGTCAGTTTCAGTACATGACACTTTTTAATTATATTCTGGTGTAGCCAAATGGAATATAAAATAAACTACCATGAAATGAAGATGTCACTCCTACACTTATCGCTTGTCAGAATGACCAATATGATGTGACATGATGATCCACTACTGGATGTGAGCAGTCTCTGCTCATACTGGGGGACTAGTTTTTGTTTTTTGCTTTGGTGTGGTTTTTGTTTTTAACAGAAGGAGAGTTATTTCCAAAATCAAAATACTAGTAAGTTACTTTCATTTATCTAATTATGTCTAATTAGATGAAGAATGGTACCATAATGGCAAAATAATTTCTAGTAAACTGAATTATTTGCAATATGCCATCCAAAATCCTGTAAGTTCAGTTGAAATGTTATATTATTTTTTCATTTCAATATATTGCACCATTATCAATATATCAGATTGAAAAAAGTTCGAAATTTCTTGATGTATCTTGTATATTTTCCAGGGTTCTTTAGATTCTTGCTGATTAAAAGAAAATAGTAATTTCCATTCTCTGAAGCAGTATCCTCATGCATATTTTGGTTGTGCCTTTGAAGTTGTATATAAATTAGTGTTCTTTTCTTCAAGATGTACTAATGGTAATATTTAATTCTGACAGCTTTTCTGTAATAGTACATTAAACATGAGATGAAAACTAACAAAGAGACCAATTTGCTGATTGGAATAGCCAGAGGATGCTTTATTAGCAAGAATGTTCACTTTTCCTTTTTGATTGACCTTCTTGTCTGTGATGTTAAAAGCTGAGTAAGCCATTTTAATGCGTGTAAAAAAGCAGTTAGAGCAGTTACAGAAGTCTTTACATTACAAATACCTTCATCACTGTCATCATCATCACTCCATACGATGTCAGACAGTAAAGAAAAAAAGCCATAAATCCAATCAGAAGACTCTTCCAGTGTCTCATGAATGATTCTCAGTGGTTCTGTGCTGAGCTTGTGAACAGATCTTCCTGAGTGCAGAGTTTAAAACAAAAGCGATTTGAAAAAAGGACCCAAACCAAACAACTCCTTCAGTAGTAAAAGTTCATCTTCATTTTATACAGGACTAATTATACTACCTCTTTTAGCAGAAACAAGGATTGTGAATGTTAATTTTTATTATTCAAGCATTTGAGGACAGCTCTCCTTCCTGTGGAAGGCTGGTATAAACTGCATTTTACTACACTTGCTGTTCACAGAGTGATTAAGGACCCAGTGTACAATTTGTTTTGATGTTGTACTCCAAGTTCTGGCTCTCCTTCTAGGGCTTGGTTGGACAAAAAATAAGTATAGATTTCACTCTAATATTCTTCATTTTAGATAATCACTTCAGTTCAGCCCAGTTTTTAATCTCAGACCCCTGCCTCTTGATGCCCATTTAGGATTCAGTCCCACTTGTGTCTTATCTCTCTGCTGAGCTCCTTCCTTCACACAAGTCCTGGCTGAAAAAATTGGGATGAGCCTCAGGTTAGCTACACAGACAGGTCACATCATTGTCATGGACCACACATACAGGATGGGAAGAAGAAAGCTGTGCGTACCCAGGCCAAAATTAACCTGAGCTCAGGTAAACTGGGATGCAAATCATGGCACAGAGACAGCTGCTTTCAAACTCATACTTCTGTGATTCTGGTTCTTCTCTCACAGCTTTTCTAGAATTTCTTTCGCATACACTCGTGCACATGTGCATACTTGTTCTGGTTTTACTGCTCTGTGGGCAAGAAAATTAGGAAACAAGGAAGCGGGGCAGTTTCATGTCTTTCACCTTCCTGGAACCTCTGACGGAAGGGAAAATTCTGCTCTCCACTGTATCCTCACCCAGTGCAGCCATCAGTGGCTCATACTTGTATTCCCTTATAGGCTTTTCCAATTGGGATTTCACCAGATTTCTCTGTACATGACACACTATTTCAGAGGAACTTTCTCATCTCTGACAGACTTCTTCTTCTGACCATTCTGTACAGCAATTTGCTACTTTCTTGAACTTTGTACCAAACATTGCTTAGGAAGAGGGAAAACCCTCATTCAGTCTATGTTACTGCCCAGTGTACTTGAAACTAAGACTGAGTCACTGCCTGGTCTGTGCAAAGCTTTTCCACAAATATAAACAACTGAAGGTAGACCACAAATGTGATTTGAACATTCGGCCTAGCCTTGCTCCTAGGACTTTCAATAGAAATATGTACCCTGAATTTAACATTATCAAGGTGGAACCATACTTGTGTAGGTAAAGATTTTAGTAGGAAGCTAAAGACAAGTCTGTTCAGAACTACTTCTGATTGCAGTGTTCTGACTCACAAGCCAAAATCAGAAGGAGTCTCACATGGACTTGCAGGCTAAAAATCATGCAAGGTGCAGGCTTAAAGGAACTTTTTCAGTGACAGCAGTATGAAAAGCTATTTTCTTAAAGTGCTGTAACAAAACTTAGATGCAGTTTTATTTGAAATATAAATGCATTGCTATTCATATTCATTTTATTTCTAATTAATTATTCTGAAACACAAGAGACCAGGCTGACTTTCTATTGGTTTGTATCTGCTTGTTGATAATGCAGAACAAAGAAATATTGTAGTTAATATTTTGTGGATATTGTATTATATAGGTAAGTGTTGCTGAACAATCAGACACATCAAATAAATTAAAGGTATGACATGATGCAATGACAGAGTTGTAAAGAAATTAATTTAATGCACTGCTGTGCGCACTATTTTATTCAGAAAGATTGAGTAGTAAACCAGCAAATATTTACTTAGTTTAGCATGACACTTATTTGCATTGTCTTCATGCATCAAGATGTAGAGATTTAATTTTTTCAAGTGATTTGCCACAATTTGTTTTCTCAAGCGTTAGCCAGGAGAAGGAATACCTATACTTAAGCTCTTAAAAAGTAAATCTGTGACTTGACTCCTGATGCCATTTATACTTTACTTTAATCTAGAGGTGCTAAGGGGTCAAAGCAGACTAACAGAAGGACATGGCCAGAGGTGTCTTAGCATAATCAAGATTTTGATTCACAAGCAGGGATGGTTTAACTTTGGACAGCTGCCTTGATTTTCAGTGTGGCTATCCACCCTCCTTTTACCCACTGGTTGCTTAGGGAGGATCCAGTTGCTTTTACAGCCACAGGTTTTTATAGCTGCAAGGACTACAGCTATAAACTAAACAAGAATTGGTATCAATTTATTTTAATTAACTGTTCTATCAACTAGCAGCTCAAGAACTGCTTCTGCTTCACAGGTAGCAGAGCTGTCCCCCCTGGGCAGGCAAGGGAAAGGCTCAGACAAGTGCAAGATCAAGAGCAGAGGAAATTATTCCAACCACCCCAAGGCAAGCCATCTTTGCTGATGAATCAGTCTTCAACATCATATCCTGGTCTTTAATTCATAACATCTTCATACCACACTACAAAAAGGGATTAGAAATTATAAGTGTCCAGAGGCAAAAGTGTGTGTCCGGTCATGCCTATGCTAACAGGCACAAGTTGCAAATCCTGTTTAACATAGAAAGTTTAGAAAAATCAGTTTGGGGCTGTGTAGAGGACACTTTATTGGTATTTGCAAAATGAAATTTTGTATTCAGATACTGTGAGCTCACTTGAGGTCTGATGCAAGTAGCATGAACCTGTAAAACTATGTTCTCATGCACAGATCTTCTGTTTAACTTGTATTTCCAATTTTTAAGAGTAGTGCTAATAGTAATGATGTGTTCTAGAATTCTTAAGAACACCACACCAAGTAATGCTGAAGTGAAAATTAAGACTGATTAATTCCATGCTTTTAGTTCTCCCAACAATTTTGACAATTCCAGGTGCTACGAAATCCCTAGTAAAATGAAATACAAAGGAAATGAAACAATTCTGGTGTTAACAAGTACAGAGAAAGAATCAATTTACCTCACACACATGCAAATAAAGACAATCATTTCCAGAAGATTTGCATACTCTTGCTTCAAGAGTGAAGCTGAAAGAATGAAGATTTTCATAACAAACTTTGAGCTTCATATTTTTTAATTTAGAGATGTCCAGCAATTGAAAGCATGATGAGATTTTTTTTACAATCACCCTGTAGTCAACATATTTGACTGGATTAGCAGTCCTCTCTACAAATTCTCATTTCTTAGCAAATCTTAGGAGCTAATTATTTTAAAAGTAAGCTCACAATATATTTCTTTTGCTAACATATGGTGTGTAATATAGAATTTTTAACTAATCTATAGGTATAACTGGTATTATTATAGATTAATATAATTGATCTAAACTGTAATTAATACCTCATATATCACATAAAAGCCATTTCTCTGGAAGTAGAGGGGGCAGGATTTTGCATTTAAACTGTAAAGAAGCTATTTCTCAGAATATTTCTTAGATAAATACAGACTTGTGAATTTTAAGCTTTTGTTGAACTTTTAAATAGGGAATTGAGCCAACTTTTAAGTCTTAGATAAAATAGTAAATGATTAATAAATGTCTGTTGAAGGAGGGGAAAGGAAGTAAATGATTACTGAGGAGGTTAAGTTCAGACATGAAACATACAATTAATATTGAAGAATGTGGTTAACACTATGTAATTACCTTTAAACACAGTTTAAGTTAAGATTATCTTATTTAATGAAATATACCTGAAAGGATACTTAATCCCTGGTGTTCCTAAACTCCCTCAAAAGCCAGTGCAGAAAGACAAATTGGGACCTTCAGAAGGCAAGTGTCTCTCTTTCCTATGAAATCTGTTTTAAGGTTACATTAATCAATTTCCAAGGTACCCACTCCTTTCCATGGACTAGAAAGGAAGTCTGAAAAATTAACATGGACAGGTCACCTTATTTTCCTATTACTGAGATATGTGACATGGATCCTGCTAGTGATGCTGTTTCAGATTTAAATCTTTGTTATTGCATGCTTTGGCTAAACACTTAGATTTGTAACTTTACATTCATAATTAATGCCAGGTCTGTACAACTATTCCCCTTGATAAATTACTTACATTCCACAACAACACCGATTCCACAAAAATGCATTGCTAGAATGTTTTGTTTGTCAAAGTATTTTATTACTTCATACAGTATAAGAGATATTTTTCAGCTCAGTAAAAATTCCTCTTTCTTGTGCTGGCATGTTCATTGCTGTGAGCATAATAAGAGTTTTGTTGTTTTGTTTTCAGAGGAAAAAGAATTCCAGAACCTTCTGGAAAATGATGACATTTGGAAGAGTTACAGTTGACAGAAGAATTCCAATCAAATGGAGGGAATTTGTATACTACCTTTCAAAGAAATCTTATCTTAGGACAACTCAATTGAATTTGATTGGAGTATGTTTGTTAGCTGTTGGAGATATCTGGAAGATTATTTGGATTTTCCATACTAAACGTATGCAAATATGTTTAAAAGAATTATTTAAGAAATAGTTTCAGATGTGTTGTAGGTATCAAATACTTCTTAAAAAATCCCTATGTAATGTGAAGCAGCACATCAAGTGCTACAATTCTTTGTAGCTCTCTAGCATTACTGGTACAGAAACAGTTATTTTATTAAAAATGTGAGAACAACAGTTCTGAGCATTGATAAATTGCTCAGAATAAATCAATTTCTTGATTTATGAAGTCTCTCTGGCTCAAAATCTTAATTCCAAATGATTTAAAAATCAAATTTTTAACCTAAATGGTAATTAATAACCCACACTTAACACAGCTCCTTGAAACCAGGCAATGACAAAGATCTCAAGTCCTGCAATTGGCATCAGGTATGTTCTTGGTAACAAGAAGATAAAAGGTAATTTTCATAAAGTGGCAAAGTAATTTTGAACAGAAAACCCCTTTTTTTTTTTCAATCAGGACTGAAAATGGGTACTTTAAAAGTGATGTTTGGATACAAGAATTGAGTAATCAGATGGTATGATTTGCTGTAGCCTCTCAAGAAAATTTGGTTATGTTTAATAGTCTGTGTCATTTATTTCTGTGATGTGCACAACAAAAAGCAACTAACTGATTATCTGTGCAAATCACTTCAGTCATTATTCGTGTCTTAGTAACTCTGCCAGAAATGTAGTTTCCTATCAATCTTTTTTGCCTGTCAAATGGTTAAATGTATGCTCAGAGTTTAACCTATGTTAAGGTGGCCTCTTTTTTTTTAATGAATCATAGCAAATTAATTAATAATTGTTGGATTTTCATCAATTACATATTTTGACTCTGGTGAATTGAATGCAATTAAGTTACAAATGATGGTAATTATCTGGTGCAAAGATTATCTATGAGATATAAACTATTTCATTGACACTGACAAGGTACAGCTGATGAAGACAGAGAATTTCTGTTGTGTTTGATAAAATACAAAAGCCTAACACTAGCTCGTGGCAATAAAGCATACTCTATTCTTAGTAAAATATTTTATTATAAATATAAAGCCTGTATTTTAAGTTGGAAGTTTATATATTTGTAAGTTTCTTTCTGCTCTGTGATCTTTTGAAAAGTAGCATCTGCTTGATGAACTCAATATACACAGAGTCCCCTATTAGTAACATTCCAGTTTATCTAACAAAACTGTCCTTGGGTCTTACATTTCTGTTTCATAGACTAACAGTTTTGTCAAGCTTATAGCTCTAAGCCATAAACAAGTAAAACTCTGGTTGATACCACCGCATTATTAGTATAAAAATACCAATTGAATTTTTAATTATATTACATTTAAAAACTGCCAAAAAAGCGCAGTCAGCTTTCTATGTAATTTCTGTTTAATAAGTACAAATATTGTAAATACTAAGGCTACAGCCTGTAGTTGTCTCTTTCTGATATCAACCTTAGATAATTATATTGAGGTCAAGTTCATAGAGGAAACCTCACCTGAAAGTGAACAAAGAAGCAGTTATAACTAGAATTTGTCAAAATATAGAAAGAAATTCACAAACTCTCGCAAAGTAATTGAGTAATTACAGGTCCATTTGATATAGCCATACATGTGAATAGGAGTGTATGTTTAGGGTGGGCTTTAAGTGTAGTTTATATGACTTGATTTAATATCAGCTGGAAGGTTTTGATTCAGATGTTCATTAGGTGGTGTTTTCTGAAACACATTTCATCTAAGATAATTTGAAACTTTATTTTTTCTCATTCTGTTTGTTCAGTTCTCTGATTAAGAGCACAGATCTTCAGATCTGTGAGGGCATCTGTAAAGCCCTTTAAAGGGCATTAAACGTGTAAAATTAGTACCTCAGCTTGACACCATTTCCTGGGACTCTCCTGGCTGGGGGCATCTCTTAGGTGCCAGATCTACTTCTAGCATGACGAGAGAATGAGGAATAGGCTGTTGCAAGCCCCAGCCTGGCGGAGTTGGGGTTAGCTGAGAAGCAGTGCTGCCCTGTGCTGGCCTCTGCTCGTGCCCATGCTTTGTTATCATCCACACACATATTCAGAACACTGCAGGCAGAAGGTCTTTACCAGGTGGGAAACAGGGATCATCACAATGTTGTGCATAGGTGGCTATACCTGATGGCAACAGCATGAACCCCAGAAAGGTCAACAAAAAAAACGAAGAAATACCATTAGCAATAATGAATGTTCTCAGATGTCTCTTGGCTAAAGGAAGCACTTAAGGAGTGAAGTGAGGAGTTGTTTAATCTCGGTGGGGCTCCTGCTATGTGGCAGAAATTTGAGTTCATTAAAAAGGGAAACAATATGCTGTAGGTGTGAGATAATACAGTGTGAATCACAGCAAGGTAAAAACGTGGTCAAACAAAGCACAGTATTTTCACAAGTGACAAACAAATTCTATTGCTGAAAAGAATATATTACATATAGGTAATTCTAGCCGAGTTACTTCAATTTCTTCAACAGCAAATAACCAAAGAATTGCATCACTGCAATTGTAACTGGCATGAATTATTGTTTTGATTTGTTTGTTTAAAATTAGAAATTTCACAGATACCATTATGCACTGGAAATTTGCTTTGTGTTTTGTGTCCCATGAAGCATATTTAAGTATGAATTCTCCTCTTAGATTCTTCCCTATACATTGAGACAGTTTCTGGAATTTCATATTTTCAACTGCATAACCTTGCAAAGTTTAATCTATCAAAATTTATCATCTTTTATACACTGGACCTTTTGGGATGAAAGCAGCACTTGCAATACTGCAATAGTTCATAGACTGTCATTCTTTTCAGTATAAACTCATTTTCTAGGGGTTTATAACTCAGCTATGAAATCTGCTGCAGACTGAAACATGAGAAACCAGATGTCATTTGAGCAGCCCTTCTTTAAACTGGAATTGGACTTAAATCCCTTTAAAGGATTTTTTCATAGCAGAGAGAAAAAATGTTTTGTAGGTTTTAGGTACGTTAATTGAAGTCTCATATAATTAAATTAAGAACTTCATTAGGAACTTTGAAACAGATAAGCTGTTCAATCATGCTTTGAATTTACATTTATAAATACAGTATAAAATATATTTCAGAAGACTATAGCACTGTTTTGATACATTTCAGAGTAGGAGGTTTGTCTAAGGCTTTGAATGTTTGAAAAAGAGAAAAAATTATATGTTCTATTAAGTTTGCTGGTGGTTTAAACTAATCCAGAAGTTAATTCTTTTTCCTGATTAAATGCAAATATATTTTCAGTTTAAAAACTGGTGTATATACAGTCATAAAACACAGGAGCAAAAATACCTACACTCTTCTTTTTGCAGTTCTTAAAACTTTCCAGTGAACATTAGCCCAACAGGGTTACTGCAGTGAGATGATATTGCAGAGGAAAAACATATGTGTATATTCTTTATAATGACTATATATACTCCCCAAGGCCAGACAAAATCCATCTGTGACCACAAGGCAGTAATAAAAATGACCACAGGTTTAGCCAAGGAAATGGTGTCTTCAGACTGTTTTTTCAGAAGCTGCTATGGGAAGCCCCACAACAGTTGGGCAGATGTTTTGCATTAACTTAAAAAGATTAGAGATATATAATGAAAAACGTATCTGATTGGATGGGAGCTTTATGCACTGTTAACTCCCCACTCCTATAGGCATTACCTCCACAAAGGTCTGCCTTTGCTACAGGTCTCTAAGAAGCCTCTTTATTTGAGCAAAACAAATTAGCCTCAACAAAGAGCATATCCATGGGGTTTTTTTACTTATCAAAACAACATAGCAAGCTCGTTCTGCTAAGTGTGTCTGTGTGTGTTTTCTATGTTTTCACTTATATTATTTTGTAGGTAATTTTGAGTTTCATAGATTTGATGAGGCTTCATTAGGTTTGATTTAGTCTGGCCTTTAGGTGACTGGCTAAATCACTGTCAATTTACTCTGAATATTGAACACTCTGGATCTGAAATTAGGGGGATGTTAATTAGCTGTAATTGGTCACAGAGATGGCAGGGAATTTTGAATGCTCTATTAGCCCATTAGCAAATATAAATTCCTGGGCAATCAATCTTAAGGACTAAAATAATCTTAAATTATTGAGTTGCATTTGCCAATTAAAATGTATAATCCAGTTATGTGTACAAGAAATGCATGAAATACATTCATGAATTATGAAGCCTGTTAAAAAGATATGTTTTCTAACACAAAGAATGGAAGTAATGAACTGTTGGAAAGCACACATAAAACCAAAATTAACTTTTTTCTTCATTTCTAAAAATATTGAAAATACATGAGAGTTTTCAATGTGGTATACTAATTCCATATTCAAGAAATTAGTACACACCGTGTACTACATGAGATTTGTAGTTTCTTCTCTTAAGCTTTTGTAATGCAAGTCACCTTCATACCACGTTAGAAATATTTCAGTCATGTTCATGGTTGTACAATACAGCATGATAGGAATGCAAGCTTTCATTTGATTCCTCAGAGGAATGAGCATAATACACTAAAGCACAACACTGCAAAATTTAATTTCCTTCTTTTGGGTAGATAGAAGAGGGGTGAAACTTTCAGTACAGATCTCTTTCTTGTCTCATCATTTCCTTGAAATCCACTGCTAAATCTAAGGCTGATTTGTAAATTCTATCCGTGTCCTAACTTCTGAACAAACTGACACATAACCACCCAGGAAGCAAAGCCTTACACCTGCAAACTGTGACTGTTATATTTTATGTCATAACCAGCACCTCCTCAATAATACAGAGCACTGTAGAATTTACAGCCATCATGTTCTGGATATGTAAAATTACACAAAACTGTATTTTAAATCTTGTTGTGAGCAGATCCTGAATTCATGTAATCTAACATCACTTACCTAAACCCTAAGTGTTAGCCTCCCTTAGCCTCCCTCAGTTCCATAAGCTACTTTACAAATGCTGAATAAAGGTGGCCAGCAAAAAGTAATTTACCACATCTACATTAGAATGAAACTAAACATCTCTATTTTCATATCATTCCATGACAAATTTCATCTTATATAAATTGTCAAAATTTCACAAATTTCATAGTTTACTGTTAAAAGGATGTGAAACCATAGCAGTCAAGAAGCAAAACTTAAGGATTGGCACTCTAATCACAGAAGTTAGTATGAAGTTCATACTGATAAATTAAAATATATAAGAGGTAAAATACATATACTGATAAATTATGTATTTTTTTAATTTTGTGCCTTTCAGGTAATGAGAGTAAAATTGTTAGTTATTGAAGGAAAAGAAAGCTCAGGTTTAAGTTTAAAGTACTTCCTACTCAGGTCACATGTAGTGTTTTTACTGAGTTCCATGAATCTGCGTGTACTCTAGGCAATTCATAATCTAGGGCATTGCACTTCTGTATTTTCCAGAGGTTAGCAGCTCTGTAGTGCAATCAGGGGGAAAAAACCCGTGTCTATTCCTCAGCCACACAGTTCCATGACTGGTTTACCAGGTCAGCCTGCTCCTGCTTTCTGCTGTGCTCACTCCTGTGCGGCGCAGTCACTGCTGCAGCTCTGCCATGGAGACGGTCATTTCTGGCACAGAAACGTAGTGAAAGTCCCTGTGGGAGCCTCTAGATCAGAATCCTCTGTCAGTTCTGTAACTGCCCTTCAAAAAATCTGCAGACTGCTCCTCGGTCACCCTCCTGTCTCCTCTAGGCTGAGTTCAGCTCTCTCAGCCTGCGTCATTCATATGCTGTGGATAATTTCTGAACATGAACTTCATGGAACTTCAGGTAGAGAAACAGGAAAGAGATTGAAAGCACTGGCTTATGAAAGGCAAGTGTTCTTTGAGGAGAAGTACACTGGGGTTTTTTTTCTGTGGTTTATGGATTTAAAAAGCACACACTTGAAAATAAATTATTTTAGCATCTTTCATTTGCATTTGAAAACTAGGGAATTAATTTTAATCTTGTTTGCAAAACTGAATTTACAATCCCAAATATAACTATTTACTCTTTTTATGTAGGTCTGGTTTTACAAAGAGTAATACCAAACCCAAGACAAAAAATTACTGGGTTTTAGATTTAAGGAGCCACTTAGAAGTATGCCCCAAGTTCTACTTTCTAGATGAAAACGAGGCATTACTTCCACGACAGGCAAACTGTCCAAAAGTGAAAATCATTCTTGTATCAATAATGCCAGCTATGTGATTCTATCCACAGTCTTCAGCTATTTCCATGGTATTTTTACAAATCACTGGGTTTAACTCAAAAAAACCAGCAAGAAATCAGGAGTGGAAACTTAAGGGTTATGATAACAGATATGCAACTATTCTTATATGTATGTAAATACAGAAAACAGTCTAAAAAATCCTGGTTTAAAGAAGTACAGCAGTTCTGTCTCTTAATGTTTGACCATCAAGACCTGATTTGAATGCTGGCTTAATTAATCACTTAGGAAACAGAAATATTGCTGGGAAGGAAAAGAAACAAACTCATGAACTCCAAATACTGAAGTATCTCTCAGAGATTTTCACAAAATAAAAACTTACCCTGCTTAAATTTAACATTGCTTTATTTCTACGTTCTGGTCTGAAAATGGCAGTTTCCATCAACACTTGTGAGATTTAAGCTCATTTAACCAGTACAATGTGAACAGAATTCCATCTGCTTAGAAAGTTTCCTTCAGACTCTGGTACAGATACAGATTCTTATTGCTTGGCATTATCCTGACTAGTTTATTGAGCATGTGTGGCCTGATAGCAAGTTCAGAAATTTCTGAGTTTAAGAGTTTAGTCTGAGTTATGCCCTGGTTCTTGACTGTTCATTGAAAACACATCAAGAACTTGATTAACTTGACTGATTGATTGACTGGTTAATATTTACTATGGAAAACTGAAGCTGAATATAACAGTTTCTCTAAGTTTGTCTCTCTGTTGTAGCAAGTGTTTGGTGTCCAAACTAAAATCTGATGCTTATTTTGGAAGGATGTCTCAAAAATAACTTTATGTTTTCCTGATACTCCAGAGATGTCCATCTGAAATCAAAGACAGATGAGAAGAAAATTTAAGAAAGTTTTGTGGCACATTTTCACCACATTTCAAGCTCTGTGACATCTATTGATCCAGGATTTGTTGGTCTCTTTCAAGATCTATATGTGTTTCAAAAGCTTTCTAAGTAAATCTTGAAGTCGATATTGATATATAGCAGGACAAAAAAAATCTATGAATTTATCAGTAAACTAATAAAGTCCAGGAAATTTACTCCAAAGCATCAACTCAATTTCTTTTGAATTAAAAGGCTGAAGTCCAAATTTCAATTCCTAGTTAATTATTGTGACAGATGTGAGAACTTTAGAGCTGGAGTTCTCATTTAAGGAAGACAAGGACCCTAATAATTTGTTTTCTGGTTCACATACATGTTTTCCAAGTGTTAACTGCTGTTAGCCTCACAAAGGTTTTACTACTGAAGGCTTGCTGAACACTACATACCCTTTACAAACATAGGTAGTTAATTTATTTTCCATTTTATATCATTACCAGATAAAATACATAAATATTCTATTTCTTTTTATTTGTCACACTTTTTCTCCTGTTTCTCAATTAGAATCACAGTCCTTGTACCACCCACTTTATTTTCATTTTTGTACCCTGTAATTGATATGTACCCTAAAGCTTGATCTTGTTCATTTATCTGTCCAAGTCTTAAAACTAGGCTAGATTATTGAAGACAAGGTTGTGCCTTAGCTATTATTAAGAATCTGGTCATCTGTACTTATGGTTTTTGAAGACCAGTTTTAGGGTTAGCATGTTCTTCTACATTTTTCTGATCATTGAACTGTGTAAGCAAGTATCAGAATACTTGAGGCAGATATTAAAGACTATATTTCTAAAAATATTAATTAATATTAATTTCATTTTTCTAGAAAAAAATATAGAAATTGGAAAAAAGAAATCTGACCTCACATGCTCATATATATTTTATGTTACTGTCAATATATTAATTTTCCAGGATGAGGATGGGCTGCAAAATGGAGAGATTTAAATTATAAAGGTGTATGAGTGTAAACTAAACACTAATGTGTTCTGACATTTCTCACAATATCTTCTCTCTTGATAAACTCAGCAGAGATACTGTGCTGTCCCCAAGGAGGTGAAACACCGGCATATTTGTGTAATAGATGCTGCTTAATAAATTTTTAAATTTGAATATACAAGGTATCAAACAGAATATGCTAAGTTTTACCTGCTAAATCTTTGTAATCCACCAAGTCAAACATTACAATAGCTACTGCTGACCAGGTAACAATCAGAGCAACCACAAGAAGCCATGCTGCTGGAGAGCTGAACGTTGTCACGAGGTCTTCTGTCACTGACTTCTTGCCCACTTTCATGGATGATGACGGAACGGAGCCGTTCTTACCATCGATTATCGTCGTGGTTGTAGACATGTGTCCTGTACAAACAGACAAAACAGAGGAAAACAGAGTAACAACTTGGAGCCTTAAAGCCAAGAATATTAATGCTCTTTTGAAATTGTTCTGTAATCACAATGTTTAAAATAAATATAAATATTGTATTACTAAAAAAAGGTTCTTGGACTTTCTGGAAGAATTAGTCACAACCAGCCTTTTTTATTATATGACATTTTTGAGTCTGCCACAAATAGCTACAGGCCTAGGACAGTGTGATTGATGAAAACATAAAATATTATTACCCTCCAAAGGATTGTCTTGTTACGGGGCTGTAGCCAGATTCTCAGGTGATGTGATTAAGTGAACTTCCATTGACTTTAATGGAGCTAATGCATCTATGCCACTTGAGGTTTGGCTGGAATTCTGCTGTGAAGGACATGTGTCAGTAGCAATAGAAATAGATACACTTAATTTCATCTAACAGAAACACAAATGATTTCCACGTCCAGGATACTTAAAAGATGTAAATAAGATTGTAGCTGATTTTAAAATACTTTTGTTTGTGGAATTTTTGGCTTAATGAAATAATATTCTAAGAAACAAGAGTTACAATGGCAGAGCAGACTTGATTGCAGAAAACAAAGGATTGGTGATAAAAAGCTGGCAGGAAGTTGAATGTTACTTAGCTAAGTGACCAGCTGACACGCATTAACTATGTAATGGACAGTAACAGTAGTGACTTAACCTACTTCCTGAGGTACTAAAAATGCTAATTCTGGACATAAACATTAATTCTGCACACAAACCAAAACTATAGTAACTGAAACCTAACCGTATCTGAAAGTTCTCAACTTAATCTGCTTCATAAAATACATTTTCATAACCTAAACAATCTAGGGAGGTACATTTTTTCCATCATATACAATGAAAATAATAAAAGTATTCTGAACACTACAGTTCAAACTAATAGAAGACCACAGTATCTCCACTTAGTTTGCACTATCTTCTTGCATTACAGTTAAAATCTTCATGGATATATTAAATGTGTTCTTGGTCTGGTTGTTGACACAAACTTGCATAAATTAATTTGAGTGATTTAAGGCACCCTTGCCCACACAGACATGTAAAATTTCTAGAAATCAGGTGACACCTAGTTTGTGCAGATCTTTGATTTTTGCTTGTCTTATGTCACAATTGATACAACCTATAAAAATTATGTTTTCTGTGTGACAGAGTTGCTCTATGTGAAGGTAAGCAGACTTAATTTCTCTTTTGACACAGGAAATGACAGATAGACACTAGGAAATTTTGCTGGAGCTAAGGTACAGGCTGTTGAAGACTTTCCAATATTTACTATCACAAGCTTTATTTAGACTCTCTTTAAGAATCACAGTCTTTATATTCCTAAAGAAATAAATGAAGATAGGATAAAATCATTACCATACATAAATACATTTTCCTTCCTATTTTGCACAAACAAATATTCTGATCCTTATGTGAATGAATACTGGATATGTTCCTTTCCTGTAGAATGTTAAAACAATAGCCTAAAGTGATACTGAAATGTCCCTTTTTATTTATCTGACAAAAACATAAGAAATTGGGAAGGATAATTTTGGAGGAAGAAGTTCCTCCAAAGAGGAACTTAATTCAAGGAAGAATTCTTAATCTGTCATACCTGCTGAGTTTTCAAATTCATGTTTTAATCAGTTCTAGAATTCTTTTTTAAATTTTATTTTATTAGGTAGCACATTGTATTAATGAGTAGTTGCCTTAGCTCTGCCTTCTAATTTTGTTTCTGCACAAGCATCTTGGTGTTGATGAGTGCCTTGCTTCAAGCCCTGAAAAACTGCTCTGATGCACAGCAGAGTTGTAAAAGCAAAACAAGATTGGCATATTACATGTTTTTTGTTACTTATTTGAAATTTATTCTTATTTGTAGAATATTTATTCTCTTATAAATAATGTCTGTCTCCTAGGATAGAATGTATATACATTTTTTAAAAAACAGTATAAACCCTGACTGCTTCCATTTCTCCAAACAAAAATTTTAGATCAAACAATTCACAGCAGGAGGAAAAATCTGCCAAGTGACAACTAAGAATAAAGATCAGCTTTCTAAGTCAAATTCAAAATCAATAGCATTTTGTCATCCTACTGCATACACGATGCAAGTAATTTGTGCATGTAACAGGTCATAAATGACACATTATGCATTTTTTCCTCTTGGGGATATCAGTCAGAGTTTATGATGTGTAAGAGAGAACAGAAAGGTACTGTCTCATCTTGACAAATCTGATTAGTACCACAGCATGTCTTCAAGGACATCCTAGTGGCAGATATTTGCAGTTATAATACAAACAATTAAAACTCTATGCGTGTATACAAATGTGTACTTATAATTACCAGTCACTCAGACCACTATGTGTCTTTGGTGAAGAAAAGAGTAACTGATGATTTATCAATCAGAGCAATGCTGCAGAGACAGAGCTCAAGTATGCTGGAAGGTTATCTACTGCAAGCTTTTGGCTGTTGATGTAGTCAAGTTAGATTTCCCTTTAAAAACTCAGGATGTTATACAATAAAATATCTGTCATTGCATTCATTAAAGTGTGAGTGAACACCTATTGATTCAAATTTGACTGGAAGTCAAGCTAGGAAAATACTGTTATACTGCTGGAAGCTGCTGATACAGGTGCTTGCAGTATGATTCAGGGGACTAAGATCTCCAGTCTTGTTTTAATTGCTTTACATCATCAAAGACATCCTCACAGGACTGGCAGACAAAATCTACAGGACAGTAACTTTGGAACTGCCTAAAAAAAGCCAAGACAGGATGTCCTAAAGCAAATAGAAATTAGATTTTTGTGTCCCTAGATACCTATATAAACAAAATTGACTGGAGGGTTTTATCTGATGACTCCTGAGAAAGACATTGTTTGCTGCTACATAATCTCATGTAAGGTGGATTGTATATTGATACCATCATCATTTCATGGCTCCAAAATGAAGAGGCAGTAACACTGAGATGATCTCCCTCTCTCCACAAGTATTCTATTATTGCAGCACCCAAGGTGCTATCCTCATGCTTTTCTCTGCCTCATTCTTGCTTTCTGGTGTCTACGTGCTCTGTTCATTTCTGTCCACCTTCCACCAGTTCTAACTTTCTCTGCAAACCTTCAGTGATAATATTTATGAAGCTAGACAACAGAGAAAAAGGGGATGTATATGCAATGTTTTCATCAGTTCAGGCAGCAGTGATTCTTCTTTTTCTCAGACAAATGCCAAAATTAGGCAGAACTCCCACTCAAGTGGTCAGTGGGTATTCGGGTGTCTAGTGGGGGACTGAGAAAGACAGGCATTTTTGTTCCTTTGAAATCACCTGATGGAGCCGATTGAGTTCTACATTTACAATTAGCAGAGGTTGTTCAGCAGCGCGTTAAAATCTGATTGCTGAAGTTTCCTAGGTATCCTTGCCATCCATATAATAAACATTTTCTCTCTAAAGACAAATTTCTGTGTCTGTATTACAGCCAGCCTGAATCCAAGTCAGTTTACTTTTGATGAGTGCTGCAGTGGATCAGGAGATTCATGAGCAGATCAGTTGTCCCTGCTCTGGGAGAGGCAACATCCATCACAGGAGAGAAGGGTGCAGCTGAAGGCTGCTACAATTTCAGCCATCCAATTTTAATCCACCGCCACATGTCTGCTAGAGCCTCTTGGCACTTTGGGTTGTGATTGGTATTGATTTTCAATGAGGATAGGAACTTTAAAAAGTTATATATATATTTCTATAAAAAGATTACTCCAGGGATATATACCTCTGACTGCACATCATGATTTCTCATGCACACAGGACTGCCCCATCAGGTCACAAATGTCACCTTTATATCAACAGATTGATTTGCTAAATTCCGAACAGCTAAAACTCTGAGGTTCTTACTATTCCTCTGGTTTCAGAGTTGTCACTTAGAATACAATCTGAAGACCCATAAGGTCTCGTAAGTATAAATAAACCTTGACAATTGGTGACAACTTTGAGGAGAACACCGTGTGACTTTCAGAATCCAGAGTGAGCTTGTAGTCCTGGCACCTTAGGTAAAATACTCTTTGTATCTGTGGGCTAAGTCATTATCTCCTTAAAACTACTAAGCTTAGGAGTCCATGGTTAAGAATGGGGACTTGATTTTACAGTTCAGCTGCTACACCTTCTACTGCTCTAATAGAAAAATGAAACAAAACAAAACTAAACATCCAAAATGAATAAATAAACTGATTCTGCTCTGACTCATTCAGGTGAAAAGAGTAATTTTCTGTATTTACATCACTTCATAACTATTTTATGTACAACAATCTTATTCTGTGAATAGGACAAAAAAATTAAATAAAGTATTTAATGTGCAGTGCCTTTTTAAGGCTAGGCATATTAAAAGCAAAGGGCTAGTTACAATAGTAAAAAAAAAAAAAGAGGTTGTTCACTTTTAAAGAATAATATTGTTGCTAGGGCAATGCAGTTGGGATGTGAGAAACCTCAGTGCAGTGTGCTCTAAATGAGAGAGCTGGTAGATTTTGATATGTCTGTTGCACTCCTCAGATGAGCACTCCAGTAAATAGGCTATAGAGTATTCTGGATTCAGGTCATTAATGGCTTCTGTTTGACCTATTCCACTTCACTTGGAATATTTAAATACTAATTAAGGAAGCAGGAGAGAGAAAAAATGGCTGTAAAAATTGACACTGGATGTTAAGCACCAGCTCAAGCCTTGGGCTTTAACCTGGTGACCTTATCAACCCAGCACTGCTGGGATCAGGCAGGCAGGAGTCTCAGCCTACAGTAAGGAGGGTACCACGGGGAAAAGAGGACAAAGGATTAGAACCCTTCAGTGAAGAAGTGGGCAATGGAAATAAGATAATCTTCTGCATTTTTTTCAAGCTCAGCACATCATCCTTAGTGACTCCACAGACTTGCAGGCATCTCTCGTTCCCCATGTGAGGAAAATGATTTCTACCACAAGAAAGGATTTACACCTACACCTGTTGT